TGGCTTATAGGCTCTATGAATCTCACTGCAATACTCTGCATTAAGGGTCCTGTGAAATTACGATATTCTGGGCTGGTATTAATTGGCATATCTCCCTATGAAGGATCTGCTCCATTGTGTCCAAGGGGCTTTGATAATGGACTATGTGGGCTGCCTACTTTAATTACTCTTTTGAGAACTTGCATATTACAACACATTTAAAATAGTCATTTAATTTTTTTCAGATCACGTTTGAAAAGTTTTCCAATAGCAACAGTCCCCAAGTTGGTTGCTGCTCAAGTATCCCACTAGTTCATTATGCTTCACATTCTCCCCACTCGCCTATCTGCCTGTGAAGCCCCCTAGAAAAAGGTTATTGTAGCTTTTTGATCCAGATGAAGAGCAATTAGAAAGCCTTACTTTGGAAGTTTAGATCAGAAGGCATTTTCAGAAAATCTTCATTACATGCAAAACAGGTTAGAGGTCTAAGAATACTTAGAGAATAAGAAATGTTTGGCCAAATCCTGCCATCTTTCATCAATGGGAAAATGACTTCAATGGGAATTTTGTTAGAGCAAGGATTGATTAAGGATAGCAGAATTTAGCCCTTTACGAACAGATCTTCATTTCTCTTTCTCTTGCTCATACAGGTGGCCAAGGTGCTGTGGTGGTATTATTTTTCCAAAGCAATTGAATTCATGGACACTATTTTCTTTGTACTGAGGAAGAAAAACAGTCAAATTACTTTCCTTCATGTATATCATCATGCCACTATGTTTAACATCTGGTGGTGTGTTCTGAACTGGATCCCTTGTGGACAAAGTAAGTGTTTCTATCATTTTCTCAGCAGTATGTTAAGGGGGTAGATGTAGGGGATTTGCACACAGCTATGCATTGCAAGCATTTAATAGTAATATTAGCTATCTGCAGAATTATTCACAAATCCCTACAAAATCAAGGTGAGTATACAGTCATATGGATTTATTTGCAGAGGTGCTGAGCACCTGCCGTTCCTCTTGAAATAAAAAAGAATTGTGAGTGCTCAGGATCACGGACTGCCGGGCCACCAAACTATTGCTGCATGCTCAGATACTAGAGTTGTGAATAAGGCTACAATTTAGTCATGTGTATTTTTAGTAAAAGTCATGGACTAGGTCATGGGCAATAAACAAAAGTTCACAGTCTGTGACCTGTCCATAACTTTTACTATAAATACCCTTGACAAAATCGGGGTGGGGGGGAGGAGACACGCGCATTGCTGGGGAGGCACTGCTTGCGGGGGATGCCCTGGGAGGCCACTGCTGGGGGGGTCCACTGATTGGGGGGGGCACCCCAGGGGCCAGCAGCACCAGCTGGCAGGGGCTGCTGAGCAGCGGCTGCTCTGGCCACCCCTGGGACCGCTGCTGGGGGGTGGGGGGCAGGAGGGTGCTGCTCGGGTGGGGAGCTGGAGCCAGCAGCACCAGCTGCCAGGGACTGCCCCAGAGCCGCTGCTTGGGGCCACCGAGCAGCGGCTGCTCTGGCCGCCCCAAGGACCACTGCTCAGGCAGTCCCTCAGATCAGCTGCCCAGGTCCGCCTGAGCAGCGGCTGGTGTGGCTAGCCCCAGAGCCACTCCTTCAGCTGTTGCTATGGCTGTTCCCAGGATCACCCAAGTAGCTGGCCCTGAGATCAGCCACACTGGCCCCTGCAGAAGTCATGGAGGTTGTGGAAAATCACAGAATCTTTGACAGATCCAGTGCCCTAGTGAGGAGCACAGTATACAGTGCCTAGAGACTGATAGATGGGACCGGATTCTCCTCAAACCAGTTTCATGCAAGTGTATCTCCCTCAAATAGAATAACTGAGAGAAGAATCTGTCCCATAAGATACTTAAGGCAAAATAATGAAGTCAATGGGAATTTCACCCCTGCTGTATAGCACAACATTCAAATGCTTATACATTTTTGACTTCTTGCACTAGCAAGATCTTTCGTTTATAAATGTGTAACTAAGCATCTGTGAGCAGCATAACTGATTTGAAGACATTTAGAAGTACGCAGACCAAACTGAAAAAAAATTTTGTACTCAAAACCCCTATATAGAAATAAAGAGAATATTCAAACTCCATCCAGGGTAGGCAAAGCCCAGTTTGTTTGCTTATGAGGAACTGCCATTGCCTATTATCTTAGTGAAGGGTTATGCTCCCCCCTCACGTGTTCCTATTTCTTGTGAATATTTTAAACAATTATTTAAACTTTTCAACTTCACACACTACTGAAGAATCGTAATTCCATTTGTCACCCAAACTTTGACAAGCCAAGGACGATCATAGGCTCAGGACCTCGTTTTGAATAGGTAAGGGTCTGATCCTGCTCCCTTTGAAGTCAGTAGCAAAAATTCCCATCCATTTCTATGGGAAGAGGATTCAGCCTTAACTTCATATGAGGCCTGGGCTGTTAGGAGAGAGAAAGGGACTATGTCTGCTCTCACTTATACAAAAGTAAATCAGAATTAACTCTACTGAAGTGCAATTGAGTCACACTGTTGTAAAACTGATGAGAAATCAGTATCAGAGTACACCGTGTACTTGGCAGTGTAAATGTAACACATTCACTGTCTCTTAAAAATATTCCTCTTTGAATCACAGACCCTACATTCATGAATTTGCCTTGTTTTAGAGTCCTATTTTGAAGACCTGAAATTTGACTGCATAGTTGGTAGGAAGTCACAGTGATGCAGAGTAATGTGCATTTTACCCAAGTGAAACCAGATGTCTTTGTGACAGAAAATTGGCCTTCTCTAGCTCCCTGCACATCAAAAGTCAGGTATAATAATTATTGTTGTGAAATATATCATGTTCATCTTGGCTGGAAATTGTCAGTCTCACCGTCTCCTCCCATACCCAAGGGAAATAGTGATAGTTAGAGACTACTGTCTCTGCATTGTGGCTTAGAGTGGGAAGTGGAGAATTATTTCTAGCATCAAATCAAGAACATTCCTGTTAGTGGGTAAATGGAATGATTTTTTTTCTGTAGCCTTGTCATTTAAGTTGAAAAGAAAATTAATGTTTTAACTTAGTTTTTAAGCTTTGGTTCCCACATCCCTCAAAAGGGAAATTATCTCAACCTATACAAAATTCAGCAGCTCTATTTTCAAAGTAATGTGTTATAAGTTCTTATTTTTAATAGTGTAAGACCCAAGTCTCCACTGCTTAGTGCAGTCACTTTGATTGTGTGAAGTAGGTGTAAAATGCTCCCACAGACCCTGTGGAGAATTGTGATTTGGCAGTGATTTACACACAGTTTGTACGGGTGTCAAGGACTGCTTAGGGGCAAGGCAATGGACATACCAGCCTCTGTGCTCTCTTCTATGGCTAACGCCCAAGACCTGATTCTCCACCACTTTTACAGCAGCATAATTGTAACAGAGAGGAGAATTGTGATGTTTCCTGGGCTACCCCAGGTTGTGAGGCACCCCACTTCCACCTGCCCTTCACACGAGGAAGCCTTGTCCGTCCCTGCTGGAGGTCAGCTCCCCAACTCCACCGGCCACATGCAACACAAGCACTCGCCTCTAAGCCTCACAGGCCTTGCTGTCTCTTTATAGGTTCACACTGGCCCCATTGCAACCCTTGAGCTCCTCCCCACATCCATCTCCCTGGAGTGTCTAGCCCCTGTTCCACTGGACACTCACTGTATTCAGATTCGCTGCTTACCACTTCCATCTGAGATCACCTCTCCGCTTAACCCACAGGCCTTAGCTGTAGCTTTTCTGCCAGGTGGAGTCTGCAACAAGGACAAGGTTTAACATACCAGGGGGTTCCTCTTACCAATCCAAAATAGAACCAGCTCAAGCCCCCACCCAGTAATCTGGGAAAACTAACTACCGCCCATAAGAGGCAGTACTTCCCCACTTGCAAACTCCAAGTCTGTGTGTAACAAAAGAAAACTTATTAAAAAGGGAAAGGAGACCCAGTATTAATTTGGGAAAACACAGCAACCAATTCGAAAGCATCTAACCATAAGCAAACACCCACCCCACAGTATGTTGGGTCATGTCCTTTGCCTCAGTTTCTTACCTTATAGGAAACAAATGTCCCCTTAATACACCACTCCCCTTGTCCTATACTGCACTCCACTCACAATTGGTTGCCTTTGGTCAGCTACTGTTATCTCTGCCACCACTGGCCACTCACTACCACCTCTGCTGCTGCTGTCTTTGCCACCCTCAGCTCTGCTGCTGCTACTTACCACTCACTGCTACCTCTGCAATGTTGCATTCTGAAGTTCCACCATAAAACCCAGCTCTTAGTGAACTCACTGAGTAGGGGGAGCATCTCAGCTGCTCTTTCTCTTCATTATCTTTCACTACAACACTGTCTCCACACTAGGTCTAAGGCTTAGCCCCTAGACCTGCTCACAAGCGATTTCAACTCTAGTAACTTCTGAACAGAAACAAGGACTCTCAGGGGAGTCCAATCAGCTCTGTCTTTAGACACTAAAGAGGAGAGGCTCAAATGGTGTCTAGGACTCTTTAGGCAGAGTCCATACCATCAGATAGGAACACCCATCCCACCCCCATCTCATTTTCACTGGGATTTGACATCCTTAGCCCCTGCTTAGCAAGTGAGTTTCAGTTTAGGGTGACCTCCTTAATAAGGGCATACTAAGTACAGTTCTGCTCATACAATAAGGATGATAATTCTAAAGTGAATTGTAACCCCAAACCAGCCAAACTTGATCACTTTGGCAAAACAGCTCTGTCTGCTAAATACCTAGGCAGAGTGAGTGTGTCAATGCAAATGTGGTCTGTTCCTGAAATCTTTTCCCCCAGTTCATCATTGGATGTCAGGGGACAGCTCATTCAGACCCTGCTTACATAGATATCAATATATCAGCGCAGCAGGTCTCCTAGGTGAAGGACGCAGTGTGTTCTTTGCTTCCCAAGATATACAAGTCACATCCTTTGTTTTCATTCATAAACAGGACACCTGCTGGTGCTTTGTTTCTTCCCGTAGATTCTGTAACCTTACAACTGGAACCTGGGCTGAAGGCAAGTCTACACTACCATGCTACATGGGTGCAGCTGCGCCACTGTAGCGTGTCTGGTGAAGACGCGTGATGCCAACAGGAGAACGCTCTTCTAGCAGCATAATTATTCCACCTCCACAAGAGGCAGAAGCTATGGTGGTAGGAAAGTATCTGCCGCTGACATAGCGCGGCATGGACAGTGCTTAGGTCACTGTAACTTGCGTTGCTCAGGGGGCGTCTTTTTCACATCTCTAAGTGATGCAAGTTACATCCCCTTAAGTGGTAGTATAGACAAGCCCTTGGTCAGCAAATAGATCTCCATTGTGAGGTAGACAACACACAATACACTCGTGATCAGACAGGGAGGTAAGTGTCTGTCACCGCCTACCTGAAAGGAACACGTTGGATGCAGGTCACCTCTTGGAGACCTGCCTTAACTCCAAGACCTTAAGAACACAATTTTCAGTATAGAGACATAAGTCCTTAAATATTACCCCTACATGCATTTTGCAGTGATTATGTCAACCAGTGGGCTACTGGCTCACAGTGAAGATCTTGTATGTCACCCTTTAGTAAATTATATGCATACATGACCAAAGAAATTCCTGTAAAACCCTATGAACCCCCTGCACCCTCAGCACTGAGAGGGCCCTGTGTCACAAGAATCAGACCCATTTGTTCTCTGACCAAATGTTAACATATTCTGTAGCTGCTGAACATTCTACTAACAGAATGAACACATGTAACTTAGCAATATTGCTACTTCCTGCTCAACTATCCAGGCAAAAGGGTAGAGGGTAATTTATCCACATCATGCAGAATGCTAGAATTAATATTCAGTTACTGCAATTGATTGTAATGGTGAAATATTGTTTGGAGCCAAATTCTGTAGTCCTTAAGCAAGCAAAACATTCACTGAAGTCGGTGAAAGCTTTTCCTCCATTAAGGCCACAGAATTTGCCCCGAGTACACGAATTGTACTCCAATACAAAGAGTAAAGCTCTCACTGCAGTGTTCAGTAATGGGAGTCCTTCATGTTCTTTTACCTCCCTGGGCACTAGGCTGGTGTTTATGGCAACATAATCTAAAATAGCTGAGTGTTTAGAGCTTAGAATGCCAAGACAGACAGACAAAGGATTTTTAGAACAAAGTGAAGGGATGGCCTGCAATCTAGAAAATAAAAAGGAAGAAGGCAGAAAGGGGAAATCATAGAGTAAAATATACAGCCTCTGACATAAAAGAAACCAAGGGAGGAAGAAGAGCTGGGTGTATGAGGCACTTCTCAGGGCACCCAGGGCCAAGTATCATCTTGTTCCCACTCACCTCCCGCATGAGGGAGACTTGCCTGTGCCAGCTAGGCATTAGCTCTCCAACGCAACCAGCCTGTCAGCCACTCTAGCACTCTCCTCTATACCAGCCCTGCAGGGTGACAGTAGATGTACCCCAGCCTCCGAGTCCCTTCAAAGTGTCCACCTGTGGTAACCAGCCCCTGATCACTGGATACCCCCAGAAATCCCAGAGCCTCTATTCCCAAAGGAGCAGTGTGCCCCAGTTTACCCATTTTACCTTAGATCACTGCTTCAGTACCAAGAACAGCACTTGAGTTCAGTTACAGTAAAACAAAAGGAAACAGTTTTAAGAAAGGATAGAGATTCAATCAGAATCAAGTGTAAGCCATGGAAACAAATGGTTACACACATCACAAAATGCGAACTAGGGCCTACATTTATTAATAGTCACCTTTACTATTTAACAGAGTCGATTCTCAACCCAAAGTTCAGTCTTTTGCAATGCTTGCTAGCTCCAAAGAGCCAGGACCCAATCTCTCATGAAGCACCCCTACTCATCAAGGTACCTCCTCAGTGAGTGGATCCAGCAGATCTTTCTCCAGCCCGTGATATACTCAGTTTTTATTCACAAACAGGGTGATCCTCAGGCTGTCACACTGTTCCTTTTCACTGTCAAGTAGTTTCAATGTTTATAGTTTGTCTTTGATGGTTTTCCATTGACTTTTGTGGGTTGGTGCAATGATGGACAATGAAGCAATGTATTACATAATTGACTAGCCTGGGAAGGGTGACAACTTCCTCCTGCTTCAACCAGCCATCACTGAGACATATTCTCCTTGTAAACCACTTCCACTCCAAGACCATAAGGGTATAATTTTCAGTATAGTTACATTGTTCCTTAACTATTCCCTGTACACACATCCCCCAATGATTATGAGTATCGATAAACTACAAGCTTTCAGTAGAGTTAGCACATGCCAGCCTTCATGGATAACTACAATGAAAGCAGTGTACGCGCCATGTCTGAGACAGGAGTTGCTTGCAAAGAAAAGTGAACCCTTTGCTAGCTGGTACCAATGGAACTTGTGTCACAGTGTAGTAAGACTTTTTTGTGGTGGTGTGGGGGGAGGGAAGGTCAGCAATCCCTAGTGTGGAATCCACTGCAAGTCCAAGAGTATCCTGACCAGAAGTGAGGGGGGAAAAAAAAAAGGTAAAGAGCATTATTACTGGACGCAGTGTCAGAACGCTAGTGAGACCACTTGTAGATCAGTAAAAGTCCCTCCCTGTAAATTCTAAAAACATAGTTCCTGGTAGAAAGTCCTTCACCCCACCCCCAGTGATACCACTGAGTAAAATGTTTTCTTTGTTGGATTCTTACAGGTTTCTTTGGACCCACTTTGAATAGTTTTATCCATGTTCTCATGTACTCCTACTATGGATTTTCTGTCATTCCTTCCATGCGCAAGTATCTGTGGTGGAAGAAATACCTCACTCAGGCACAACTGGTACATTTATTTTTCACTCTTTAATTTTAATAGATTTTTTTTTGTCAAAGGAGGTAGCATAAAACTGTAACCTTAAATATAAAGCTTTTGAAATGTGGGAGAGGAAGGACCTCGGATTCAAATTCCTATATCCAAATTCAACCCCAAAGTCTTTGTTTCCAGATCGGATCCAAAAGCAGAAATTTGTGAAAAAACCTCATAAGAGTTCAGTACGATCAAATTCAAATTGTGCTGCCAAATCCAAATTCAGCATCAAACTCTAGAATAAACTTAATATGAACAGGGCCTAGGGAGCCCATTTTCATAAAGACTATGTTTATTCAATACTATCTTAATACATCTGAACTGAACTCACGGGGTGGAACAGGACTGAAGTACTTAACAAGTTATTTAAGCACGATGATTAAAAGCCACAGCAATTGGATATTCTAAGTGTGGTTCTTCTCTGAAAAACAGCTACATACAAAAGGTATTTTATTATACATTAGACTTAGTCCCTCAGTTTATTCAGTTACAGCTGCTTACTTCACTGATGATGTTTTCATTGCATTTTACTCCTGTTAGAGCTGGTAAGTCAATACAGCTCTGGCTCACACAAGACCACTAGACTTGTTAACTAGGTTCTACTGTAGAATCCTTGTTGGTGGTGATACATGAGCCAGTGAGAATCCAGCTTGAGCTGTCTGTACTAACAGAAGTTAAACACACACGGAAAAATGAACAAACATCCTTTTACTTGATTTCAGATACAATCTGGCATCACTGAGAAATAATCAATGTGCCCTCCTCCCTCCGTGCCATTTTTAGGGAGTAAATTTTCAGAGCAGAACCATTCTTTAAGTAAAGCCTGTTCATAAATGCAAAAAGACAGACATATTAACTTGACTTAAAAGATACCAAACCTTATCATTAAGGCTAAGGATGTGAAATGGAGTTTTGCACCTACCTTAACAGCCATTTTCATTCCAGATTTTGTTGTTTTTGTTGTTTTTAACACAGCACATTGATTTTACTTGTGGTTTAATTCGGATTTTAATTGTTTTAACCTTGTAGGATTACTGTCAGAGGCAAGCTTTTTAAAAGTGGACTAACTTGTTGGCATAAAAAAAGATTTGCACACTTTTTTGGCTGCCAATCTTTCCTTTCATTAAAAAAAAAAAGTCTGGCCTTTATTTTGTATTTGTTATAGGGTAAAAATCTTAGGATACATTTGCAAGTAAATAGAATGGGCCTGATTCTTGCTATCAATAGAAGTTCACTGTGTGCAGTACTTTCCAGGATTGAGCCAGTTAAGATTCAAATGTCGCAATAGTGCCATGCAGTATACTTTGACAGTGTCATGTTTGGGGGCACAATTCAGACCAGTGTGGGGCTGTGTCACCACCTGCCTTGTAAACCTTGGTGCCTGAAATGCCCTACTGTTGTGCCTCACAAACTGGATGCCAGCAACCAGCATACAAGCATGCAGGTCACATCCTAAGTGTCTATGTGCCGGACATCCCTGGATCAGCAACTTTGACTCTCGCAGCCAGCCTACAGCACAACAGTCTCACCATGGCTTCCACCAACCTTGGTTACTACTAGCAGACTGACCCCAACACACTTCCAGTCCTGAAATTTTCCTCAAACCATGTACCCTTTAGTTTCTGGCCCTCTCCAGGACCACTCAGAGAAATAAGGTTAGTTGATCCTTTAAAGAGAGACAAAAACATTGCAGAATATTAATTTAACTGGGGTAAATAACCCTTCCCTTCAAACAAATCACTGAGTTGGTTTATAGTAAAAATAAAACAGATTTAGTAATAATGGGACAGATTAAATGATGTCAAACAAAAGGAATAAAGTTATAAATGGTTGCAAGCAAATAATAGTGAAAACATGCAGCTAAAAGTCTAAAACTCAATTTAGTCAGGTACAGACTTTGTTCAAGATGGTTGATCTCACCAAATCTTCCTTCTTCCCAGCCATAGCTGACTTTTCCTCAGTCAGGACTTTCCACAGAAGTACAAGATGTTATCTTCCTAGGTGAAAGATCTTTGTCTAAACAGTTCTCTCACCTTTATTCTGTTCCCAGAAACTTCACCACCCTGTTGGTCAAAGGACCCATTTTTCCTCAGCTTGCAGGACAGCTTGTGTCTGTCTAGTGATGGATGCCAAAGATGGTTTGTGTCTTTGCTTATATCTTCCAAAGTTCAATTACCTTGTTTCAAGAGGCAGGATGACCTCAAGCTGTTTTTCCTATACCTGGGAGGATGGAAGTGGAGTTTCCATTGTTTTGATTCCACCATGCTTAAATTTACATAGGAGACGGGTAAATAGCTGTTCTGTTCCCACCTGTCTGGCAGAGACCTGTTTCTCCCTTTCATTGGACAGACTGTAAAGTCTAATATCAATGAATATCCATAATTCCTTATACTGTTATTTTAATATATATTAATCACCAGTCTGTCATAGGCTTTCATAAAACAGCTTATTCAATGAACTTTGTATACATTACTGTATTATAAATCAATTGATTCAATGGCTTGTCACTTGAAGTTCAAACCCCTTGTCCGTATAGCCCAGATAAAGTTTCTCTTTCCTTCTAGAAGCTGTCTGCTCCCGATTGTTAGCTTAATAGCTTTGTTTACCTGATATGTAAGTGGACCTTCACTGTCTCTGCCTGTTGACCAAGCATTCCTTTGTATAGGACAGACCTATTTACCAACTTTCCCTGACAGACCTGGCTTAAACACATTTTAGTCATCATTTCAGCATATAGCCATAACACTTAATACACACCACATACATAACTCAAGAATATTAATGATCAGTGAGATATTAGCTTTCAAATGATACACTACATGCTGCCTTTTAAATAAATATCATGACACCCGTGTGTGAGGTGTAATGAGTATGTCAGGCCTGACAAGTGTTGCTTTATGCAGTGTTGTTGTAGCCGTGTCGGTCCCAGAATATTAGACAGACAAGGTAGTTAAGGTAATATCTTTTTACCTAATGAGTGAGACAAGCTTTCGAGCTCCACAGAACTCTTCTGTATAAGCTTAAATGCTTGTCTCCCTCACCAACAGAAATTGGTCTAATAAAAAAATTCTCTCATCTACTTTGCCTCTAAGAGTTGCTATCACAGGATAAAGAACCACAAATGGACCTCTCGGTCATCGACAGTACACCATATTACTCACTGAGGGAGACAGTATTCAGTAGTGATTCTAGGAGAAACTCCCTCCCATTATTTATGGCCTTCATAGAAAATGGACATTACTAAATCATGCTAAATGCACCACTGATTAAAAAGTCATAAAAGCTATCAATTATGTAAGATGTTAAAATGATATACTTTTCAGTTAGCTTTCCTATAGAGCTTTAAAATTGTAGGACTTGAAAAAAAAGTTTTGCATCAGCTACTTACATGCACCAAAGTCTCTCCAAAGCAGGAAACGTAACCATAGTCCAATATGGGGGGAAAAAAAATCACAAAGCAGCAAGAGCACAAGACAAACATTCTCTGATTTAGAAAAATCTGCTTTAGTCTGGATACAGTACACAAAGCCATGTGCCCTTTGTAGTCAGCATTAATACATCAAGAGTTGTGTTTCAAAAACATATGTCATGCTGCACTCCTTACTGGTAGAAGAATGTGCTCTACACATTTGCATTTTAAAGAAGACTTCTTTATTCTTATTTTGGGAACAGACACTAGCAAAAAGCTCTAAAACAGTCTTGTGAAAATGTGTATTCTTTGAATCAGGACTGCATCTTAGGTCTTTTGTTTTCCTGCATACTTAAAACAGAATAATGCCTCATTCTAAATAAACTACATACAGTACATTGGTTCTATGGAGTACCGCATAATTCATTTGGTTGGATAGGATCTTATGATCCAGTTAATTAGGCAGTGTTTGGTAATAATAATAAAGGATCTTTGCAGCTTCCTCCCCATCTCATTTCTCCTTTATTTGTGGTCTTCTTATGCCTACCAACACAGTTCTTTACCTGACCCAGACTTCTAGTTTCTCCTTTAAAAATGGATGTTCCATTTTCAGCTCAGTCTTTTGAAACGGCTTCTTCAGGTCTCAGATATTCATCAGGTTTCTCTTAGGTTCTGCTTTAAAGATGATGCTGTAGGTGGCACAAAGTGTTCTAGGGGACATCCCAGCCCCATTAAAAGAGAATAGCTACCAGTTTGCCAGCCAGTCCTGTAAGAAAACTTGTGTTTTCCAAAGTATCTATAAAATGGCCAACCCTTAATTCTTTAGACCTTATATGAGAATAATTCGGATAGCCTCAGAACAATGCCCCCAAACAGAACACTCACAAACTACAAAAAAATTATAATATGGAGATTGCATAGGAAATACCTGATTAAATGATCACCATCCTCTTTCCTGAAATTGCTCAAATAGTAATAAACCAAAAAAAAAATCTCATCTAAATTTATATAAATAAAATGTATGATCTATCTTTTACAGATTCAGTTTCTGCTCACCATTATCCACACTCTTAGTGCTGCCGTGAAGCCATGTGGATTTCCGTTTGGTTGCCTCATGTTCCAATCTTCATACATGGCCACACTGGTTATTCTGTTTATAAACTTTTATATTAAGGTAAGTTGGGGAATGTAAAAATCATACACCGAGGTCTGATTTCAGGTTATATTTATTCATCAAGCTCCTGATTTGCTGATGAGTGCAACTCTCTGTGAATTTATACCACCATGCATTGTGCTACCAGAAATCAGAGATCTGGAATGTTTTTGCCAAATGGACTGATCCATGACATAAGAAACTTTAATACAATCAAGTTTTGTTAGTATTTTATTAAAAGAAAATACCAGATTTTTGTTTTTGTTGTTGGTGGGTATTTAGGTTTGTTTGTTGTTTTTTGTTTGGTTGGATTTTTGCTATTATAGCAGTTGAGGAATATGGATGCAATAAACCTGTGGTTCTCAAACTTTTGTACTGGTGACCCCTTTCATATAGCAAGCCCCTGAGTGTGACCCGCCCCCCCCCATACATTAAAAACACCTTTTTTATATATTTAACATCATTATAAATGCTGGAGGCAAAGCAGAGTTTGGGGTGGAGTCTGACATCTTGTGAGCCCCCATGTAATAACCTCATGACCTCCTGAGGGGTCCTGACTGCCAGTTTGAGAACCCCTGCAGTAAACTATGTGAAAAAAACATACCTTCAAAAATTAAGTGATCGTTAGTTCAGGAAAATGCCATTTCTTTTCTCATTAAATGCCCAATTCTACAGTGTTTGAGCACTTTCTGCAAGCTCCTTTCTGCCCTCAACTGCCAATAAAAATAGCAAAGGAAATACAGTGACAGATAAGAAGTGTTAACTTTTGAGCATTAAAGGCCTGACTGAAGTCAATAGAAGGACCTCAGCGAATTCAGGTTAGAAGGAACTAATCCTTCCAGCCTTCCTTGTGCAATTAGCCCCATTGACTTCATTAGAACTACTAACATAAGGTTTATTCTCATGAGTGAAGGCAGGAACAATCAAGCCAAAAATACAGATGCAGTAGACAATATGAAATATCATAGTAGGCAATTCTAAGAGTAATGAATAATGGTAATGGATTTTCTTCTTTATAAAGTTTTTTTTTTTAAAAGTCAAAAATGAAAAAAGGCACCACTCCTCCCCAAATATAAAGATAAATCAAGTACATCCAAATAAGCAATAGGACGTATTTAGAATAGATGTAAAAAATATGCAGGAATGTCCAAAACCCTATACAACTTTATTGATGGAGAATAGAAGATAATTCTCATGGAAAAACAGTAGCATTAAATGGAGAATTCTGTATAATAAACTGCAAAATACATTTTAAAACAAAACAAAATTATAGCCATTCCTAACCGGACAATTTATATTAATCAGTTAATCATAAAATGTCAGATTTACCTTGATAAATTGTCTAAGTATCTATTGAGGAATCTGGCCCCATTTAAATCGATGGCAAAACTTTCATTGGACTTCAGTGGGGCCAGAATTTCATCCCTGCATTTGTTTTTGTTTGTGTTTTTTTTTTAACTATTAACACAACTTTCAAGAGATGTTTGGGATTTAAACCAGACCTTCTTTCAATGTATTCTATCAAACTAAGTTAAGTGCAAGAGGCCAAATTATGTTCTCAATTTCACTAATCATTTTAAATTTGGAGCAATCCCACTGAAGTTAGGGGGGTACTCTGCATTTGCAATGATCAGTAGAGCAGAGTTCGGCCAAAAGGAGTTAGTTATGCTTAATTTATAATAAAACTATAAATATCTATATATATTTATTTAAAACAAAAACAATAAGGCAGTCTCTGCAGAATGCAAGTTCCAGTCTCAAAGACTGAATTTGGTGCAGTTTTAATACAAATGAGCCTTTTATCACTGGATAACCCTGTTGTAATGGCTGCAAATTGAGAAAAATTCTGACAAAGTGAGTGATGTGTATATTAAAATGCCTTATCCAATACCCATGGAAGAACTGGGCATCAGATGGGGCCAACAATGAGCTATGTCTCAAATTACATCCTTGTAGCCAATTGATCAGATAAAAAAATTTGGACCAATAGCCTTTCATGCAGGATCATAGTTTAATTCAACTCCCTAGTAGGTCACACCTCCAACCGTTACCAGGTCTCAGGGTATGTCTACACTACGAAATTAGTTCGAATTTATAGAAGCCGGTTTTATTGAAATCGATTGTATACAGCCGATTGTGTGTGGCCACACAAT